AAAGTTTTAAAACTTTAAAAAGAAAAAAAAGGCTAAATCCTAGGCTGATGAACAGGGATTTGTAAATTAGATTTCCAGGTATCTCAAGAGAAGCTGTAGGATCACCCTTGGCATCACAGCAAACTACATCAGGACTTGGCTTATAATCTTTATGCGGCCTCTTTCCAGAATGTCCATAAGTAATGGAAACACAGGATTACAAGCACATGTAAAATTAGACACAAGAAATGCACAAGGATCGTTTGTTTAGCTCTTCTCTTTTGGCATTCTTCAAGATACTAGTAAGCCATAAAAAGACACCTAATTTCCATAAAAGTATAGGAAGAAAAGACATTGCCTTGCTGACCTGTCCAAACAATGATCTTGGTATCGGCCACGATCCCTGTGGTCAAAGTCATGGAAGCGGTCTTGACGACTAAATTCAGAATGATACCTATCATCCATTGCCATTCGCTTTGCCTCTGGCCAGTACGGGTCATCTCGCCTGAAAAAGGTCACAATTAGTAGTAATCGCAAAACAATCTTCCTTTCCTACTCTCTTGATACCAAACCTTGTTCAATCCAATTATCAAAAAAATTACTTTCGATTTATAATTAAAAACCTTTGTGTGGTAAGTGTGCTTTGCATTTCAGTTCCAGAGGAAGCTAGGTGTACTGACACTACACAAAAAGCTTAATCTCAGCATGTGCTGACGTGAGAAGAGAATGAGTATCTGTTCCAGCTAGCAATCCTGCTTTAGAGTCAATACGTAGTTTCTATTCTCAGTCACTCCTCTTTGGGAAATAAGAATTTTAAACATTCTGTAATAAAATTGTGTTTACAGGTATACGAGTATGACATTTGCTCTTTCTCAAGATCCATATTAAAGTGTTAAAAGCAGTATGTAAATAGTCTTCCAGTTGTGAGCTCCCATGACTGCTTTAGCAAGAGTACTCGCAATTTACATCGGCTTTAGAATGCTCTGTCTGTCACTGGATGCGGCTGAAGAATTTGGAATTTCATCATGGTTATTGTTACCTGCCGTCAGGATCATAAGGCCTTCTCATG